TTAAGTGCTACAAGTTGGTAATACATGAATAAACTAATGGATAAAGTCAACTCTAGGAGCAAAATGGTGTTGTTTCTAATCAGTAATTTACGAGGTATTACACATTTAATTTGTTATGAACGATCGTTGAGCTTGTAGTGAATGGACTAAGAACAACAATTACAGTACATTCTTCCGATCTAATAAGCATTTGCCGGGGATAGTCTATATTTACACAACAATATTATAAATGCCCATCAATAGAGTCTAACTTCAATTAAAGTATACATACAATATTATACTTAAATCAATAGGTAATAAACGTTTATTCAGAACTGCATTTTTATCAAAACTACTAACCACAGTCTACAAATTGCTCAATTTGTTTTGACAATATTTTAACACAGGAAATCTATCGGCGACACACAAGAAGGAAACCCAACCTGTTTCCATGACCCGCATACAAAGGTAAGTTACGTAAAATCAATTGATCAAACCACAAACGGAAGACCCGAGTCACGAGTGTGTTTCTATCAACAGTTAGTTGTGCAGATAGCCACAGGCCATTGGACGTCCTGCATGGTGCAATATGGATACTTTACGGAGTCACGAAACATATTTATCATTCCCTATTGCAACCACGTGGCGCGAGTCTTTGATCTGCAGGTGGACAACTGGACGTTTCCGTCTTCCGCTCTCTTTGTCGCTGTGATGCAACAGCTGATTTTACTGGATTATTCACCCGGTTACTCACTAGTTACACATGCGTTTAGCAATCCGCTCTTTGTGAATGAGTTGTAGTGTTGCGTTACTTGTGGCTAAGTATTTCTCTGTTTGAAAATGTAGATACGTAGACTTTGTTGTGTTTTAAGCGCCGTATGGATTTTTACGCTGAAAAGAACTGTCCAAACTTTGGTATGGTTACTAACTAAGTCAAAATTGTGGTAGATAGCATTATTAGTTTATATACCAACAACTGGCTCTAGAATCGAATCTGTTTAATATCGATTCACATGAACTAATTAAGTCGAAATTGTAGTGCATAGCATTATTATTTTATATACCAACAACTGGCTCTAGAATCGAATCTGTTCAATGTCGATTCATATTTTTGATAGCAGGCACTATAACTACTCGGCTGCTCGCTAAGAATAGACAATGGAATTAGTTAAATATCTATTAATAGGTGAATTATCGTACGGTTGCACTAGTAGGAAGTAGCAAATCAGGAGGCTGCGGTTAAAATCCCAACAAACACTTTTGGTGGGATAAATCCTTGACCCTGTGACTCGGTTCCCACCGCCGTAGGACATGTCCATGACCAGAAATATGGGTATCTCTTGGTGATGAGAACATTGTATTTATTTGAAATGACTCCATCCACTTAGTCTTACACATTGTGAATATATTTAAATTATCTAGGAAAGTTCAAATATTCTGTACCGATACAAAATCGTCTGAAAGCATTAATTTATCATGTTAATAAAACAAATTAAATACATTGTACGAAAATTTAGTTGCGCCAGTCGAGAAAAATGTAACAGTTCACAGGAAGCAACTATCAGCGTAAAATTGTGATAACCATTGCGAACTGGACAATCTTAAAACTGGGTGTTCAAAATCGTGGGAAATTACGTCCACTCTCCCGCCTTTATCAGTCGCGCGACGTCCGTGCGTCACGCAGGGCGTCATCAGCTGATAAGTGATAACACGCCCTCCCACTCACTGATAACTGCGCACACTTGCGCACGACCTCCTGCGAAACACGCTAATAATAGATACTGATAATGGCTCAAAACAACTTATGTAAATTTTAAGCAATAGCTTGCTAATTCGCCTTTGTGAAATCGTTTATGTGTTGACTTTTTTTTAAGAGAATCTCTCTGTGGTTTTGTCTGAGGGCGGGTTTTGGAAGAGAAAAATTGCTCGAAACCATTGATAGTTAAGAACTAAAATAGTTCTAGACTAAAACCCGGGTTTCGGAGTTGAGATATATATTTAATTCGAGGATTATCTCAGTTCAGATATTAATTTGATTTGCGAATAAGTCGAGAATGAATTTGGCAATCGCAATGAAATGTTACTTTCATAGTGGTGGCAACATGATACGTGATTAGCTGCAACAACGCAATATCGGCGACAGCGACCCATCATGATGTATTTACATGTACCTACCCTCTCTCCACCTCCATTATTAGGTCAGTCAATAAAGCATTTCTTTTTGTGACGAAAATAATCAAGAAAAAGATAAACTATAAGCAAATAGAAAGTGCACACATATTTTATTGTACATTTCTCCTAATATTTCCTTCTATTTCTCCTTATTCCAAAAAAGTGAGGAACAACAGAATAATAATGAACTATCTGTATATTTTTAAAGTATGTCAAATTACCTTTGAATCAAACAGTTTTGCTTAAAGCAAATGTCTATTATTTAATTGTATCACCACCTCATACATACTCAGACAAGTATGCGAATACACTACATAACTTTCCACTGTGATATTACACCGTTAAATGACCGCCATTAAACAGATCGATTATTCAAGGCCTATTAACATGGACCGTTTCACCTTGATTGTTCAATTGGTGATCAGTATTATCCTAACAATGGTTAATAACAGGTTGTGCTAGAGAGTGAGGTTGGTATGCCTGCGACGCCCGCGCTGCTGTAGGTATTTGGCAGCCCTGGGACGCCGTCGCCGACGCCGCTCCTCAGCCAATGGGAGGCCTCGTCGCACGCATCCGCACACCTGATAACCGCCCATTGATAACACCTACTGTTACTGTTACCTCTCCCCCCTGGGTACATTGTGGTAGATTTTCTATCAGGAATGTCCAACGCGGAAATACATTTAAGTTTTTCCAAACAAGAAGAAATTGTAAAGTGACAATTCATAGGCCTATGTTGGATTTATCTTGGGAATACAAATGTATATGTGAAGAAATGAGACATTTAATAAAAATGTTCATCGTTGATGTAGCTAAAAGGCACTTAACGACCTGATTGGAAATAATACTGATTTGTCTCAGTAAAGACGTCGAATACTCACATTGACTGCACCAATCATCTAAACGTCAAAGCACAACGTATAAATTTATTCGTAATTGGTACATAGGCTTGAAATTGTTAGACATATTTTAGAATTAACAATATTTTTCACATAATTTGTCTTGTTTAGGATGTAGAATATAAAGGGTCTTTTGTTACAAAATATTCTTCCAACAAGGGTTCCCTGTATAGTTTATTCTTACTTGATCTTATACCTTTGCATTAGCAGAATACAAGAAAATAAACAAATCGAGTGAATAAAAAAAATTGTGTATAAACATTTTTTTTTTAATCCAAATAATATGGGATAATTATTAAAAACATTCTTTGTTATAAAAAAAAAACTCAAAATTTAAATTAGAAGGATTTCAAGCACCTAATTTGTCTTCTTCACAGTAGATTTATAATATCAGTGAGGCTTTTGTTGCATCAGTATTCGTCCAAACGGAGGCTATAACACCCTGTATAATTTATTCCTAATTGATACGTAGTTGGACATTATAAAAACCAAACTAGTTTGAACGTGAGTGTAGTGGTGGCCACACCCCCTCATTCACCCTTGGCTACCACATCGGCCACACCGTGGACCGCCCACGCCGACTTACTACATGTGCTGTATTTAGTTGGCTGAAACAACTATTCCACTGTAAAATAGTATATACAGAGTAAGAGTTTGACTTTACACTTAACATTGTAACAAATTCTGTGGTTTTAAACGTTTTTGTAGTGTGTGCCGTGTTTAGTCGATTAGACCAATTAATGTAGATTGTGTGTACATTTTTCACAACACTATTGATCCATAACTATTCTGTCCATTAATTTACATTACAGACAATCTAAACGCTGGCCGTAATTGCATGCTATGTATTGTTGGATAAACCAGCCTGTCAGATGTGTATACTGTTTTCTATCGTTTATTGATTTTATTAAGATTTTTTCCTATTGTTTTACATTATGAGAATTCTCTGTGCACTCTACAATTTAACTTTGTCTTTCTGACAGGTGAAGAGTCAGAGTAAAGATTTTTAAACGATTAACAAATGGGAAGCAGTAGAATTGGTGACAACTAATTATAAATGTCTTGACAGGTTTTAATAATAATGGAATACCTGATATAACTAAGCTGCAACTTCCTTTATAATATATTAAATAATAAATGCATAGCAATAATTTGAAAGTTAACACGTTTCTGTATTCATGACATATCAATGTTGAGATTTCTTGACAATAAAAAAATATGTTTCAGAATAACCAAAACAAGTTGAAAAACAGCAACAAAGGATTACTATATGCAAATATCGTAAGCCTGTGTAAGTATAATACAGTAATCCGGAGGCTAAACAACTCTTTAAAAACACTCTTTCATCAAAGCCGGATGTTCTATATGTTATATCACAATTACTCCATAGCTGCCTACAACCTCCAATCATATTGATGGTGATTCTAAATTTCAGTTTGAATCACGAAAATTATATAAAAGAACTGGAGATATTTGTCATAATATTTGGTAGAGCTTAATAATTTTTGTTTATAGACTGACAAATATTTAATTCCATATTTTGTATCCACCAGATATATGATTTTTGTAAAATACCATGTATTAACCTAAAAAAGATGTATGCATGAATGTATGAAAGAATTAAAAATACCACATTTTGAACCTCCAACATGACAATATTAAAACTAAACCAAACTTATACTTTCAAATAGGATAAAGTATCATAGAGGAATTTGAGGTGTTTAGACAACTTTCCTTTAAACAGTTTATATTTCTTTCAAACATAAATCCACTGGTGAAGATATTTTTTATCCGCATATCTCATTCATCCCCATTGCCCAGCATCGCAATGCACGTAAGCAGGTAGTAGTGTAGTGGTGTAGATATGGAGGGGTGTTGGGGAGTTAGGGGTGTACCTAGGGTGCCTCCCTTCTTTCGCACCCTTACAACTTACAGCACAGCCCCCCTAGTCAGTAGTCAGTACTACACCGTCAGTCAGTCTGTGAGTGCCAGCATAGTGCCAGTGACCGTGAGTGCCGTGCTGTGCTACATAGTGCCACTGTGATTATTGGAGTCTGCGGTGAGTCCATTCTAGTAATTTTCATAAAAAATATGATGAACGTACAATTTTTGTTATTGGCATTGAACTGTTTAGTTTAATTTGTAATAGTTTTTTTTCACATTTCGCAAACGTCATTAAAATTTAAATATAGTTCAAGTAAAATCTAGTTAAAATATGATTACTATTTTTACCTATACAATTAATTGTGAGATAACACATGTGTGTCAGATAGGGAAAATACTTTTTTTTTCAAATAACATAGAGTAAGGCTATGGTTAACATGAAGGTTTTCTAGTTACATAAAATAATTATCTAATAAATTTGAATAATGTACTATTATCAAGCAGAAACTATTCAATTCAATTCAATTCAATATCATCTTTATTCTGTTTCTTGTAACATTTACAAAGAATAGAGTCACACATAAGATAAATATAACATAAGGTCATACAACATAAGGTAAAATAATATAAAATAGTTTCATACTCATAGTATTTGTAGGAAAGACTATAAATACACCGATCGATTTTTTTAAATTTGATTAAAATTGTGGAACAGGCCTAATCAATGCAAACAAATAAAGCTCTGTAAGTAAATAAATCATGTAAAATAACAGATTGATAAGGTAAATTAGGCTTAATAGCTGCAACTCAGTAGGAATTTTACAACCCCTTTAAATTAAAGTTGTTCCTTTGTATCTGCCAAAACTTTGATAATTTCAGTTTTATGTATGTTTTTAGTAAACTTTGTACAATACACGGAAATAAAACACGTGAAGGAATATTAAGCTACATATTCGCTGTTAAAAAATTATTGAAAAAATTATCTAATAATAACAAATTAAACTATAATAAAGTTAAGTTATGCGAAATACGTTTTAAATTATTGTTGTTTCATATCTTCAACAACGGCTATAATATGCTTTATCGGTCTAATAAAGCTGTATTAACTTTTACCTATGTTGTTTTAATTTTTATGTAATCAATTACACATTGTGAGTTAAAAATTACGACACTTTCAACTGTGTTTTTTGATGATTTAGTTTTTAACTACTTACTTATAGCCTACCTACTGTATAGGTTTCTTTGTGATATGCTCGAGCTTGGCCTAGAAAATTCATAACACATTTTTCTGAACAAATAAAAAAATATACATAAAAATACCCAAGGTAACTTTTTATCTCCGGTACTCCGGAGAATTTAAAAATTAACTGTAATACTTTTTTACAATATAAATATGAATTTAGAGTGAAATTAAAGATTTCAGATTTTTATAATCACAGTAAAGAATTCCGTATTTGAGTTTCGTCTTCATAGGACTTATTTGTTTCTATTTAATGAAGATAGTAGTAATCTGGTGTCCTATACATTGTTTTATAAAAATCACAGTGAGAGATTCTCCAAGCGATTTCCGACATTATTTGTATTAACTATTATTATCCAAACAATAGATTAATCCAGATAATCTATTTTACTTATTCAGTTACTTGTCAACTTAAAAATCCCAACAAGTACAGTATAGATAGAGACTACACTATCTAAATCAATAAGTGAAACGTTTTGCGAGTCTTTGGAAAGGAAAGTGATTTTTTAAATTAAATGTTTGTATATATTAATTAACGGGAAATAATCAAGTGATTTCCTTAACATAACTTGAAATAACACGTACAAGCGTGTATTTAGTAATGTTTTCCCATTGTTTTCACTTTGATCATGTTACCGTTTAAATTTTTTACCGTAACCATGTATCAACAAGCGAAGGACTTTTGTCATAAGTAGTAGTAGTATCACATGAATATGATAGACTACTAAATATAAATTTACAGTACGTGCATATCGTATATTTCAATATCTGTTCTCATTACGAATTATTTAGCTGCCATTTCATGCTTTATAAATTAATAATTACGTCTAAAACTAAATGTTCAAAACATATCCTGTCAATTTTAACTATGTGCTGACCACTTACCACTCCTGAAACGGGCAAATACAATTTACAGCCGTCTATATTTCGTCACCAGGTTGTATTGTATTGTAGCCACCGCCACTGCCTCCTACGGTATATCACTGTATCCACGGCCTACTGAATCAGGCAGGCGTAACATTGCTGTTGGTTTTAATACGAGTCCGGCACGCAACCTCACCATTATAAGGCACCTACACATATTTCTTATTGTTCCATTGGAGTTTTTGTAATCTTTGATTTATGAATGAAACGCCCGGTAACCATTTGTATCTACAGGTGGGAGGATCATTTATTAGGTTCACTTATGCAGCGAATAATTTAATATTGCTTATTGAAATAGTTGATTATGTTAGACATAATTGAAAATAATGTAATATTTCAAGGTAAAAATATTTTTGATTGTTTTTTTTTTTTTGACCAGTGATCCTTTATGGTGTCATTTCTGTCATCAGGTAACAACAATTAAAATGATTTTTTTTTGCTATATATCTTATAAGTGTAACCCCGTGTATGAGTATAGTGTTAACTCTTTAACTTGTCAGGGTGAGCTGAAGATCGCTGGTTCGATCCATATCGGGGACAGTTGTAGACCCAAATGACATTTCAGTCATTGGGCTTTAAAACAATGATGCTATCTAATAAAAGGTTGGATTAAAATCGTAATCACCATATTATAACCTCTCTTCTACAAAAAAGGTGTAACATAATCCACTGTTATAAATACAAAAAATAGAAACCAGCAACAGTATATCAAGGTTGTAGTTTATTACTGATTACTTTACAGAAAAATATGATTTGGACTCCTTATGAGTTTTAACTGGTCTTAGCATATACCTATTTCTTACGTTTCGGGAAATATATGATAGCTTAAATTATTTGCTTGGCTTAACGTATGCCTAGATGTAAACTCTGTTCAAACCGCTTTGCGTTCCTCAGTGTCAGTACCATAATTTTGACATTGAAATTCGAGTTTTAGAAATTTTATGAGATTGTAAACTTTACAGTCAACCTCATATTCCATTTACATCATTTGCCAGTAAAGGCTTCCTTCTGACCATTTGATGGAATATAGATAGGCTAAATAAATATCGAATTGATATCGAAGTTTATTTCACCCACTATTGTTTACTCATGTTACTTTCCATCCACATTCAAGCCGCGGTTTAAACACTACCTGTCTATGCAGCTACGTAGGAAGTAGAACTGTTGTATAAAACACGTTTATGTACGCAATCAAGTGCTAAAAGCTCTCACATAGGGGAGCGTCTGATTCTGACCCTGTTTAAATTGCCAAAGTCTTGTTGCCCAACTCCCCAAAGCCACCCTACATTGCGAAAGTCCCCCCCCCCGGCACCTGGGACCTCCCCCTCCTGACTGCGTTTTGTGCAATCCAATTGTCATAAGCTCGGATGTTTGACCGCTTCACAAGATTTCGATCTCGATTTAAGTTCACATCAGGGGGAGTTTAGGAAATGTCTCGCAAACCGTCTCAGGTTGCACTCACAAATGGACAATATGTGTGAATGTAACGTATTTTGTCGTTTTTGATGTCTTGCAACTCCGGTGTACACTACCGCATAAACTGTATCCCAATTCTTCACTATTAGATAAAGGAATCATTTATACTTAGATGATAGATCTAAAAATGGTCAACGGACGAACACATTAACACACAGTTCAGTTATAATTGTGATTACCCAGAAGTTCCCATAATAACCCTGAAACTCGTGTTTTTCAACTGTCAATCTCGATACGGGACCCGAGACCGATCACACAGTAACATTCTGATATCAAAGGGAAAGTGAAAGTGGGAATAAACAAGTAGATTATAGATAAGACAGAACAACACCTACAACACAACCCATCTGAGATCAAGCTGAGGTTGCCATGAGAGACGTCAAAAACAGTTACATCACTTTGACGTTCCCTCTCACGCATCGATCTGATAACAATAACTCTGAAAGGTTTGCTGTGTTTCTCGTTAATCTGTTTGATTGTGACGAAAATAATATATTGTTTTTAATGTTTGGTGCTGAGAAAATGCATTATTTTATTGGGTTTTAACAATTATTTTCGTTCTACAGAAGATTTTTTATGATTATAAGAATTTTTTATACTTTTTTTCTTCGTAATTCTTTGTAACTTAAAAGGGGGCGAAGACATAGATGCAGTAGTGGGAAACTATTATTTTTGATAGAAAATAGTATATTAATAATCATATTTCAACACGGTTTCAATGAACTCCACTCACCATACGTTCGACCTCAACACATCCATCCTAGCCATTAGCCGCCGTAAACCTGTCCGCGAATGATGCATGCTCTGGCAAAAACTAACGCACTCATTCCCGGACTCAATAAAATCCCGACTAGTTGAGGCGAATACGGTAAAAAGCGTCAGAAAGGTATCGCGTCTTGCCATATGCGGGGGACAGGTGGCTTCACCTACACTGTCATAGGCCTTCTCCAGCAGAAAAATGCGGCTCGAAGGACTAAGATTCGCGACACGTCCCGTTAACGGGGGGAAAAAGTCGTCCTTCCTTCGGAGGAGGATCCGCTCTGCGCCGTCCATCACCCCTTGTAGGTAGGGAGATGTACCGGCCGGCTCTGGCACGGCTAAATGTCGGGTAATTAACGGAGATGGATCGTGGCGTGGACGGATTATAAAACAGTTAAGTTCTGACGCAACCGAGGTGGTCCCTTACTGTGAGGGGAATGTTAAACGTATGTTCCATGTTCTCGTAGTTGTGTGAAACTATCGAGTTAACCTCCTTACCAGACATATGCGATGTTCGAGAGTGGTTAAATATTGATATTGTTAAATATAAGTCTTCTGTAGATAGTTGAAGTGCAGCTTTGATAAGAAGTTGAATTGTAACTTTCCCCGGAGAAGGATTGCCGAGAGGCATCCGAAACGTAGACCAAAGACACTGGTATTCCATGTGTACCAATATTCATTCTGATTCGGCATCTAGTTAGAGAGTACTAATATTATAGATTTAATACTATAATTTTCTAAAAGGCACGCTTTAATTTTATTGAGGTGGGGTCCTG